ACCAGCGGCCTCATTGGTTCCTCTGTCCCTTGCTCTCTCTACGCTGACCCTGCTCTGCCCCGGGTGTGACCCAGCCCTTCCTCCAGGCCCTTGGGCTCCCTTTCCCTTTAGATGGCTGCAGACTGGGACCGCGCAGATGCGTGTGGACTGGAGGACTGTGGTCCTGAGCCCCTCCAGGTTCACTCTGCATCCTCCTTCCTGCCCTGTGCTCCCAGAGGTGGGGGTCCCTCTCCGCACGGCCCCCTCTGTTTTGAATTTTGTGCTATGTGCTGTGTTCGCTGTTTATTATTTTTTTTAATTTTTTATTTTTTAAAATTTACATCCAAATTAGTTAGCATATAGTGAAACAGTGATTTCAGGAGTAGATTCCTTAGTGCCCCTTACTCATTTAGCCCATCCCCCCTCCCAAAACCCCTCCAGCAACCCTCAGTTTGTTCTCCATATTTAAGAATCTCTTCTGTTTTGTTCCCCTTCCTGTTTGTATATTATTTTTGTTTCCCTTCCCTTATGTTCATCTGTTTTCTCTCTTAAAGTCCTCCTATGAGTGAAGTCATATGATTTTTGTCTTTCTCTGACTAATTTCACTTAGCATAATACCCTCCAATTCCATCCCCGTAGTTGCAAGTGGCAAGGTTTCATTCTTTTTGATTGTCGAGTAATACTCCATTGTGTGTGTGTATATACGCACATATACACACATATGTGTATACATATATGCATGTGTATACACACATATGTATACATATATACACATATATGTGTATACTCATATATACATATATGTGTATACGTGTGTGTGTGTATATATATATGTATATATCACATCTTCTTTATCCATTCATCCAACAATGGACATTTGGGCTCTTTCCATACTTTGGCTATTGTTGATAGTGCTGCTATAAAATGGGGGTGCCTTCAAAACGTGTCCCTTCGAAACAGCACACCTGTATCCCGTGGATAAATGCCTAGTAGTGCAATTGCTGGGTCGTAGGGTAGTTCTCTTTTTAGTTTTTTGAGGAACCTCCATACTGTTTTCCAGAGTGGCTGCACCAGCTTGCATTCCCACCAACAATGCAAAAGAGACTCTTTCTCCACATCCTCGCCAACATCTGTTGTTGCCTGAGTTGTTCATGTGAGCCATTCTGACAGGTGTCAGGTGGTATCTCATTGTGGTTTTGATCTGTATTTCCCTGATGGTGAGTCATGTTGAGCATTTTTTCATGTGTCGGTTGGCCATCAGGATGTGTTTGGAGAAGTGTCTATTCATGGCTTTTGCCCATTTCTTCACTGGGTTATTTGTTTTTGGGGTGTTGAGTTTGATAAGTTCTTTAGAAATTTTGGATACTAACCCTTTATCTGATATGTCATTTGCAAACATCTTCTCCCATTCTGTCGGTTGCCTTTTAGTTTTGCTGATTGTTTCCTTCGCTGTGCAGAAGCTTTTTATTTTGATGAGGTCCCAGTAGTTCCTTTTTGTTTTTGTTGCCCTTGCCTCCGAGTGTTCGCTGTTTATTAAAGGTGGTTTCCACCTGAGGACTTAGTTTGTTCGCTTGACGGCCCGTAAGTACTGAACGAACGGGAAGGATGTTGAAGACGTAAGCTGGCTGGCGTGGTGTATGCTGTGGAGGTGATGGCGGATGGACACTCCCTCGTCTCCGTCCGGCATCGTGTCCAGCTGTGCTGTCCGAGGCGACTCTGCGACATGCAGGACCAGCTCCAGGGTTCATCCGTTCATACGCCGCTGCTGCGTGCTTGGTGCGCACCAGGCCCCATGCAGGGTGCTGAGGGTACAGCATTGACCGTCAGAATGCCGGCCCGTGTGGAGCTGACCCTCTGGAAGGGAAGATGGAGAGAGGAAAGTTAAGTAAATATAATGTGCGCTACGTTAGTGACTATGCCAAGGAGAGCACAAAGCAGGGAGTATGTGCGCGGGTGTGGGTGGTATTGGGATTTTCTGGAAGGGTGGCCAGGGAAGGCCTCACTGGGAAGGCAACATTTGAGTGCAGACCTGAGGGGGGCGGAGGGGGGGCAGCTTGGTGGGCTGCAGACGGAAGGGCAGGTGCACAGGCCCCCAGGACCCGGTATGCGTGCTGCGTGGGAGGGTCACGGACACGGGGCAATGGGGGGTGCTGGAAAGGTAACGGGGGCAGCTGCTGGTGTGCGCAGGTCACAAGTCCGCTAATCCACACAAACTTCCCACCTGATGCAGCCACAGCCGCAAAGCCCTGCTTCCTCCTCCCGAATTTACTCTGCATCCGCAGAGTTGGGGGGTTCACACGCAGCACTACACCCCCCCCCCTCCATTTTGTCACCAGATCTGGTCCTGTCTATGGAATATCTCCTTATGCACTGCCCTCATTCAGGCCCTCACTTGGTGCCTGAACTGCTACCTGTGGCTTGCAGGCTGCTGTAGAGAGCTGTCCTGAGCCGTTTGGGTGCCGAAGACTTTTACTTTGAAGGGGACGACCGGGATTCAGTGATGTGATTTCCCTAAGGCGGTCTAACTAATTATTAACAGAGCTGGGGGTAGAGCCCAGACCTCCTGCCCATGAGTCTGGAGCAGTGCCACCCGGCTCTCGGCCGAGGACTTCGGGACACCTGCTGCAGTCCGTACCCCAGAGGACCTCTTTGCACGCGGTAGGTAGACGTGGGGTTGGCCTCTGCACTCGCCCCTCACGCCAGGGCCGTGGCTCTTCAGAGTTGGTAACCTGCAACAGCCTCTCGTCATTCTTACTTGTGATCCTGCCTAAAGTAAACAAAGCTGTTGTTTCCCAGATAGTGAAGTTTGGGTGACTGGCGCATAGAGCATTTCCCAGTTTTCCTGGTATTTTCCTGCCGTAGGCCGCAGCCTTAAGGGTAAGGCTGGATCGGAAGAGCAGAGTTGACTGTCATTTTAGTGGCCAGGCGGGTCCTTTCCGTGAGTCCTCTTTGTTTATGAAGAGAAAACAGTGCCTGCTCCAGCTCTCAGGGTTGACGTGAGTCTCTGAGGTCCCACAGGGGGACGCGGGCCGGGCAAGGCGCTGGGACCTGTTGCAGCCCCCGGTGTGCTTAGGGCACAGACTGCGCACAGAATGTTCCTGCAGTTTAACGGACACCTTAAGCCCGTTGTTTACGATAAAAGCGTTCCTGTTTTCGAGGCGCTCAGGTTCAGGGAGAGCATTGGTGTGGGGAACGCTGCCGAGTGCCAGCTCCGTTACTGTCATCTGCCCTGGTGATTCTGTCTAGGCTGCGTGGGTGTGCGTTCACGGGCTGCCTTTCTGGCCGGGTGAGGCCTGGAACCATGTGTCTTTATTAATAGAGCTCGTCGGTGTGCGAAAACCGGATAGAGTTAGCTTGGAAGCTTCTCAGCTCATCCTGGGAGAGGGTGCAGGATTTTTCATGTCCTACGTATTGTTGCAACGGTGCCCACTGTTGTAACGTTTCTGGGTTACCTGCTCGTGCGCTCCGGTCTTCCGGGTTACTTTGCACGTGCATGTGCTCCTGTGCGTTGAGAGCTTGGACTGTCCGAAGGGGGGGACTGTGCCCTGCAGAGGACACGGGCGGGGCGAAGGAGGGGCTGCAGGGTGCCCGGGGAGTGCGTCCTGCCGTGCGCGTGCCCTGTCCCGACCCAGCCCTTGTGGCGTCCTGCGCTGCCTTCTTGCAGGGAAACGTGTGCTGTGGCTGTCGCATCCAGCCTGGGGGGCAAGGGTGTCCGGGCAGGGGCAGCCGGGTGCTGTGGGTGCCAGGACTGCCCCGTGATCTCGCGTGTCCTCGTGCACGCAGTGCGCGTCCTGCTCCTGCTGCTGCTGGGTGGCCTTACAACCCGAACTTCTCGCGGTGCTTAGTGGTGGTTAATTATGTTTACAGAAGGCGTGCTGGTCCACAGGTTGACGTGACAACGACTCTGCCTTTCTCTTTGGGGAAGTATTTCCACAGGATGGATGCCTGCAGTTGGGCCTCTTTGAGGTGGTTCTTTATCCTGATGCCTGTCGACTGGCACGGAGGAGGCACCCCCGGAGTTGAGGGTGCCAGGGTCGCTTGCCTGCGTGGCTGGGCTGGGAACGGACGACATTTTGGGGGGTAATTGAATGGGTGTGAGAGTTTGCACTCTTTGCTCTATCAGTGTTAAGATACAGCGTCTGCTCTTAGGAGGAGAGGCTTTGCTAACGGGGTTAGATTCCAGCCTCTGCTGCCCGAGTGTTTACGAGGTCAGCCAAGTGTTACCCTAAGAGTCGTTCTGCTCGTACCTCGTCGATGGAGACTTCAGGCTGTAACATAGGCATTTGATTTGATTAAAACGTTTTCGCCCCAAAAACACAATGGTTTGAGTAGGTGATACACGCGCGTGGTGTAAATACTAGATTCCCCTCCGTGTTCTGCCTCCTGCCTCCCTTCCCCACCTCTAGAGCGATACGTGTCACGTTCTAGGTCTCCCTCCAAAGAGCCTGCGCACGTGTGGTGGCCCGGCTGCCCTTGGGATTGGTGGGCAGCTCTGTTTCCAGGACGGGTGGGGCACACACCACGAACCGTATGAGTCTATGATAAACAGATGACAGACAGTGTCACAGAAAGACTCGGTTTGGCCTTTTGTGTGAGCTGGTTTGACTGAATGCCAGGGACCCCAGGGGCTCTGCAGGCTGTGTGCCGCGGGGGGCATGGGGGGGGGGGCGGGCGTGGGGGGGGATGGCTGCCAGCACATACGCACTTGGACAGGGACTCTGGGGACAGGAATGGACGCTGACAGCTGCTGTCTCTCTCTTGGCAGATGTTCCTCACCGTGTTCCTCAGCGACAACGAGCAGCACTTCACCGAGGTCCCCGTGACCCCCGAAACCACGTGCCGAGATGTGGTGGATCTGTGCAAAGAACCTGGAGAGAGCGAGTGCCACCTGGCTGAAGTGCGCTGCGGCTCTGGTACGAGGCGGGCACCCCGCGCGCCCCTTAGGCCGCGTTGTGTGGTTCCTGGATTGTAGACGTGGCGGCACACGTGCGTCGGGAGCGCGTCCGTCCAGCTGTGGTGTGACACATAAAGCCTTTCTGCTCTTTCTTTCCCTGCGATACACTGAAGCCGCCATGGTGTGCGCGGTCAGAGGACAGGCAGGTGATGCACCGGTGGAAGCTTCCGGTAAACCGTATGGTGCTCACGAGGTGCTTTCTGGGTGCTTGGACTTGACTGAGTTAGAGATGTGAGGCGTCCCAAGTGCATCGCCCTCTGCACGTGTTTGCAGGTTTTTAGGGAACGCGGTCGGTGTGGCGTCACCGTGGTGGGGCAGGGGGGCGGGGATCGAGGTCTTGGGTATTGTTTTAAGCTTTGAGATCAATCCCTCGCTCTAGTTCTTTGTATCTTTGTAGCTCTGAAGCGGGACAGCCTGCTCTTCTTGCCTCTGAGGAGTTTGTAGATGGAGTAATTTTCCGTCATTTGTGCCTCAGTCCTGTGCAGCCTGCATGAGTGCCCCCTGCCCCCCGGTGTCCCGGCGCCGGCCGCACACCGTGGGGACTGGGTCCACGCCGTTCCCGATGCTCCGGTGGCCCAGGCAAGACCTCCTGGTCACCTTTGGTCGACTCGCTTACGGGTGGGCATCCTAGAGGTCTCGTGCCCTCTCCCCGGCTCACTTCCTCCCTTCCCCCCGCAGGGGAGCTAGAGTAGACCATTTGCTAGAGGGGCCCGAATGGTAGTCTGACTTTCCTCTTCTCAGTGACTTGCTTTCTGCTTAGAATCAAATCCACACTCTGATCTTGGACTGTGGCTGCCAGATACTGGCTCCTCCCCGTCCTGCAGCTCTCTGGTGTTCCTGAATGATCCCCGCTCCTTCCCTCCTTAGGGCCACAGGCGCCGGCTCCTTTACTGCCTGTGTCGCTCTCCCTCCAGGTTTTGCCGCCTGGACTTCAGCTGAAACGTTACCTCCTGCTGAAGTAGCCGTGATGTCACCCTGATCTGCCCCTCTGCTAAGACACGTCACGCCGGTTCTTGAGCGTTCACGTCTCTTGCCGCTTTAATCCCCGTGGCCCCACACACGTGCACTTGAACGTCGTTCCCTAAGAGGAGAGGCCTTGTGTGTCCCTGTCATTGGTGTGCCCGGCTCAGGGGAGGGCCTGGGGTCTGGCGGTGCTCAGTGAGCACTTCCTGAGTGAATCCGCGCACTGCTGGATGCTTCTGGCAGCCTCCTTGTGTCAGAAGTGACCTTGTTTATGGTTTACTGAGGTGATCGGAAGCACCCATTGTGTGCCCCTCGCCTTCTCTCCAGACCCGGTTGCCCTTCCTCCCTTTTCCTAGAGGAAGAGGCGTCCCTCTCTTTGCCGGGGCTCAGTGTCTCCCGGAAACTCTGATTCTACCTGTTCTTTCTTCTCTCGTGTCTTGCTCACTTGAGTTCCCTTTACTATGTGATGATGATGTTTAGAAGATTTTCTGTCTTCTAACTTATGTTTTAGTTTTTTAAAGTTATTTGGAGACATGGGGCGCCTGGGTGGCGCAGTTGGTTAAGCGTCCGACTTCAGCCAGGTCACGATCTCGCGGTCTGTGAGTTCGAGCCCCGCGTCGGGCTCTGGGCTGATGGCTCAGAGCCTGGAGCCTGTTTCCGATTCTGTGTCTCCCTCTCTCTCTGCCCCTCCCCCGTTCATGCTCTGTCTCTCTCTGTCCCAAAAATAAATAAACAATGAAAAAAAATTTAAAGTTATTTGGAGACAGATAGAGCAGGTGGGGGAGGGGCAGAAAGGAGGAGACGAGTCCCAAGCAGACTCCACACTGTCAGCGCAGAGCCTGACGTGGGGCTCGAATTCACAAACCTCGAGATCATGACCTGAGCCAAGATCAGTCAGAGGCTGAACCACCCAGGCTCCCCTCCTCTTCTAGTTTTTAAAATAAATGACAGCACCTGAACGTATTCTTTTTTGTAAAAGAGGAAATAATATAGACAGAATAGAAGCATGTCCCTACTCCCATCCCTCAGTACTCCACGTAATTGCTCCTTTTTTAAAATTATTACTATTTTTAATGTTTTATTTTACTTTTTGAGAGAGCATGAGCTAGCGGGGGTGGTGCAGAGAGAGAGGAGACACAGAATCCGAAGCAGCTCCAGGCTCCGCTCTGTCAGTGTAGAGCCTGAGGTGGGGCTCGAGCCCATGAGCTGAGAGGTCGTGAGCTGAGATCCAGGGTAAATGCTCGGCCACCCTGCACCCCTGGGTTTCCATTTTCAGAGAATTGTTTCCCTGTAGCCATTGCTCAGGTTTCCCTTGGCTTTTTTGCCTCTTGATCTGTAGGCGTTAAAACCAAAACCAACTACTCTGCAGCCCGGGTCTCTCTGTGTGATTTACAAGGCTTCTTCTTTACTTCGAGGCTGTGAACCCGCTCTCCTGGTCCGTAAAGCTGGTTTTAGTGGTTTCTGTCCCTCCCCCATCAGTCTGTGACTCGTGAGAGTTAGGGGGCCGGTTCTTGTCTCCAGACAGAGAGTGAGTTGTTCTGAGTGCCTGCCTCTTCCCGATGAGCCTGCCTCTAAAATGCGTGGTAGATCTCGCGTTGTGGGGTTCACTCCTGCCAGCTTCCGTCAGTCACTTGTGTCTTTTGTTCACAACAGAACCAAACTGTTCTAATTACTGTGTGGTTTTAGTGCGTGTTAGGGATCGGTGAGCCAGGTGTGCATTTCATTGTTCTGCTTTTTTTGTGTTTTCGAATATTTGTTTATTTCTGAGAGAGCGAATATGTGTAGGCGTGAGAGAGGGGCAGAGAGAGAGACAGAATCCCAAGCAGGCTCTGCACTGTCATGGGGCTCAAACTCACGAACTGTGAGATCAGGGCCTGTGCTGAAATCAAGAGTCAGAGGCTTGACCGACTGAGCCTACCCCCCACCCCACCCCCAGGCACCCCTGTTTTTTCAGAGAATACCTGAGCTGTTCTTTTATATATTTTTTTTCAGATACAATGTAGAAGGACCTTAAAAGGTTCCAGGAAAAATCCTATTGGGATTTGGATGGGTTGTAGTGAATTCATAATTCATTTGAGGGTTGCTGGTGTGGTGCTGTGGTTAGGAGCAAGATCTTGGGTATCAAGTCCTGTCTCTGCCCTTTACTAGCCTTCTAACCTCACCGTCCTCCCCGGGATCCCTCCCTGGAATCCATGGCAGGCCCCGCTCACCTGGGGCAGGGGGTGTGGGCAGGGGGTCTGCAGAACCCGAAGTGTGCTCCTGCACTTGCGGTCAGTCCTCCCGGCCAGCGGGACCCCGGCTCCCAGACCTGCTGAGCAGTCCCCCCATGGGGACTGGGGTTTCTTCACTTCCTTGACTTGTCTCTTGGCCTGGGGGTTTCATCTCATTTTTCTGAAAGCGCGCGCGCGTGTGTGTGTGCGTGCGTGTGTGCCTATGTTGGGTGAGGAGGTAGAAGGTCTGCTCAGAAGTGCTTTTGGGGGTGTCTTTCTTGTCAGGGGTGTTCCTTTTGGGGGGTCTTAGAATTTCTGTGGCTTGTGGAAGAGACGGGACCTCTGAACTCCGCGTGTTGTTTCACCGTGACTGGAAGCACAACTGTACTTTGTTGGAGCTGACGGGACTGAGTTCAGGGTCAGTCCACAAAACGGGCTGCCTGTTCTCCGCCCTGTGGTCGCTGCAGGTGCTGGCGTCGTGGTCTCGGTTACTGGCAGGCGCGCCGAGTTCTCGCCGGCCGCTTCAACGTCCTCACGTTGAGTACGTAGCACACTGACGTCACTGGAGCTGCTCCGATTGGGAGCAGTTGTGTCCGCGAGCAGTAGGTTTGGTGTTTATATCCAGATCCTGGAGATGACAAGGTATTTTGAGGGGAGCTTACAACCATGATTTCTCCTGAATTTCGCATTTATTAGAGTGTTTAGCTGTGTCCTTTTGTCTCTAGAAAAGTTTGACAGCTGTCGGTCTCACCGGAAGAGGGGCCGAATAGACATGCAGCGAACGATGCGGGGGGTTGGGGTACCGGCCCCCTGGGGCACAGTCGAAAACCCACATGTGACTTTCAGCTACCCCCAAACTGCTTACGGCCTGCTGTCGCCCGGGAAGCCCGGTAGCCCATGTTGTGTATGTTGTGTGTATTACACACTGTTCTTCAGTCAAGGAAGCTAGAGAGAAGATGCTAGTAAGGAAATCATAAGGAACGTGGAGTGCCTTGGGGGCTCAGTAAGTTAAGTGTCGTCTTCGGCTCAGGTCATGATCTCCCGGTTCCTGAGTTCGAGCCCCCGCATCAGGCTCTGCACTGACCGTGCAGACCCTGCTTGGGATTCTGTTTCTCTCTCTCTCTGCCCTCCCTGGCTCACATTCTCTATCTCTCTCTCAAAGTGAAGAAACAGTAAAAAAAACAAAAAACCATAAGGAATATTTACAGGACTGCCCTGTATCTATCAAAAAAACTCCCGCATAAGTGGACGTGGGCAGGTCATCGCTGTTACTCAAGGGTCTATTGTGTTTTCGGTGCAGTAAGCAGCCTTTTGTTAGGAAACGGGTATGTCTGATTTTTTTTAAACATAGTTTATAGAATTATAACTTAAAAATAGCCTAATAGGAAGACTAGGCCGTTTGGAAAGTTATTTTTAATTTCTTGTTTGTATGCTTCGAGAGCCCTAGAACATCTGAGTTAGAAAGGACCTCAGAGACCATCCTGTGTCACAGTTGAGACTTCAGAAACCCCTCGAGGTTGCCGGCGGCGAGTCCCTCAGGCACTGAGCTAGAGTCCCGTGCTCCTGGTGGCCGGCCCTGACCGGTTCCTCTTTCCTGTGCCCCCCGGTTGGACACGGACTGTGTGGAGCATCTGTGACGCTGTATCTCTAAGGGCTCTTTTATTTTACTTTTTAAAAATTTTTTTGGAGTTTATTCATTTTTGAGAGGGGGGGGTGAGGGACAGAGAGAGAGGGAGACACAGGATCCGAAGCAACTCCAGGCTCCGAGCCATTAGCACAGAGCCCGACGTGGGGCTCGAATTCACAAACCACGAGATCGTGACCTGAACCCAAGTCTGACACTTAACCGACCGAGCCACCCAGGTGCCCCATCTAAGTGCTCTTTTAATGGGAAAAAAGTTATCTAAGACGCTAAGTATTCCCATCAGCAGAATCTGCACGAAGGATGGGAGCAAATGCCCTCCATTGGACCTGCAGGTCGCATGATGTGTTTGTTCCCATAGAGCGTCCGGTTGCTGATAACGAGCGCATGTTTGAGGCTCTGCAGCGGTCTGGAAGTCAGAGGAACGAAGTTCGTTTCTTCCTTCGTCACGAACGGCCCCCCGGCAGGGACACAGGTGGGTAGCGTCGTGTGAATCTGAACAGGGCTGTGGACTTTGCTTGCTTTGGAAGGGGTGGGGGGTGTCGGGAGCCTGGTGACTTGAGTGAGGGTGCAGGAGAGGGAGGGAGTGGAGGCCTGAGGACGGCCCAGCTGCCAAGACCTGACCGCCAGGGAGCCAAGGGTGTGGTTTGCTTTGATTTGTGGTGTTTGAAGAGGGGAGAATCGGGCGGAAAGGAGTCCCTAGGGCAGGAGGTGGAAATTTGGGGGCGGCGATGTGTGCTGGCGGGTCCCTGAGGAGCGGCGCCCTCAGCCCGCGAGACCTTCTCCCGGGTGCAGAGGGAGAGAGGACAGATGCGGTTGGCGGTGGTGTGGGGTCTGGAGGAAGGGCTTCTGGTCGTCTTCTCTGAGGTTGTGGGGGGGGCACAGAGGCCCACGTGAGCCGTCACAGGGAACAGAAGAGCGTCAGCCACGGACTCTGGACACCGCGGATCCCAGACCCTGGGCTTTCCTTTTAGCCGGGCTCTGCAGTCTGGATGTTGGAAGAAGACGGTTAGATTGCCCCAGAGTTGGGGTTTTGCCGGCCCAATCGGGAGGAGGACACGGACGGCGTCTGAGCTGGTGGGAAGGGGTGGAGGGGAGCTGCAGGGAGAGGCTAGGCAGGGGAGGAGACTGGGGTCCCGGGTTCCTGAACAGGTGCAGTGACGGGAAGTTAGGGTCCGAACCCAGACCGTCTAAATTCAGGATCCCAGAGGAAGAGCACTTGTAGGGGATTTGGGCCAGGAGATGAGCCAGGGTTAGGGGCTGAGAGGCGGGCTTTGGACGGAGGCTGTGGGGGTCAGGTGGTCACAGCTGTGGGGATGAGGGTTCTCACCGGGGCGTGCAGATGAGGTAAGGAGGGAGAAGATGCCAGCGGAGGGACGCCGGGCCGACCGTGGCTGGACCCTGAGGGTGGAGCCGTCCTGGGGACCCTGAGGGGCTCTGTTCCTGGGGGAAGCCCCCCGATAAGTGGGAGTACTAGGTATTTCTAAAAGTGTGAGAACCTTTAAAATGGGAACTTGAGGGTTTGTGATCTCAGGACATTACTCTCGTGAGTAGGAACGTAGGAAACAGGTGTTCGCTATCATGTAACATAACATCTCGAGTTTACTGCCTTAATCCAAGCGCCCGCGTGGTGCCCAACCATTAGAAATGCTTACGTGTGGCGTGTGACGTGTGACGTAGTGTAGCCTCGTCCCCACTGCAGGAGAGTGCGGGCACGCAGGTGACCTGCCCTGCCCGAGGTCACACGTCTGGGGCGGAACCTGGAGCACAGCCGAGACCCCTCAGTCAGGCTGGCCACACGCTCTCCATCCTTACTGCTGTCTGTAGGTGTCCTTTAAACCCTCACTTATTTTGTTCCCGAGCCGCCTTTCTTGTAGTTGTAAATTGGCATCTGCAATCGCATTTTTGTTTTGTCCTTTACTTACATTATCGCACACATCCTCTGGTAATAAGTTGAATTTTACCTTTTCACCCAACAGTTCTCATGTCTTCTGGGTAGGTCGTGGGTAAATTATTAAATAGGAGTGCAGTACACAGCCTCAGTGTGTCTGTAAGGTGAGAAGCCCAGTCCAAAGATCGAGGAGCCGTTTACATTGTCGCACACACCAGGGCCCCGCAGCGTTCGAACTGGGCCGCAGCGGCATCCGCCAGTGAGGTGCGAGTCTGGGTTAGGGGACGCCCGCCCTCTTCCCTGTGCCCTTGGCCCAGGACCTGGGCCTCTGACTCTGATTGAGTCCTGAACATGCTAACGAGACACTGGTTGCATGCCCTCTCTTTGAGGTGGTGAAGAAAGCAATTGCTCTTAAGTGGCAGGTTTTTTTTCTTGTGGAAATATTGTGACAGATGACTTGAGCCGCGTTGTCAGAACTGAACAGTGTTTTAAAAATAAAGCTAGTGCGTTTGCGTTAGGTGTCCGCGTGATACCTGGCTCTGAGGACAGACGTTTACTTATGGGCGCAGGAATCTGTGCTGAGCTTCAAGTAGGTATAATAGACATTTAATTGAAAAGAAATTTTAATTTAAAATTTCTTGGGAGATCTGTGTTTTCTAATATACGGGAAGTACAGATATAAGCTTAATTTTCTATATTTAAAAAGTTGTTGATATTTCAAATTACAAATTTCTTACACTGTATCAGTTTAAATTTTTTTTTTATTTTTATTTTGCAAGAGAGACTGAGCACCAGCGGGGGAGGGTCAGAGAGAGAGGGAGACACAGAATCCAAAGCAGGCTTCAGGCCCCAGAAAAATTCTTTTTAGCCAGTAAAGCAGAACATACAATGTTCTCTAGTTAGTATTTTCCCAAGTTAAGAAAATGGAAATTTTTTTACTGAAATAAATGGGGAAGTACTTCATAGTACTTATGAACTACCATAAAATGTCCCCAGTAAACCAAAAATATTCAAGACGGCTCTTAACTCTGTTTTCAGTTGCTTCTTTTCAATGGAAGTTACAAACACACCTGATGAGCACGGGGAAGGATGGATTTAATTTTCACTTATTTCTTTCGGTGAAAGTTGTTGATCTCACAACCGACTAGCTAAGTGGAGAGCCAGGAGCAGCAGTGTGAACAAATGATGGGAGGTGTTTTGTTTATGGCGTCCTTTCTGCTTCCGGTATCCAGGAGCGATAGTGACAACCCCAAGGTGACCTGCTCCTTATGGCACCTGTCCGTTCTAGTATTAATGCCTGGTTTTTGAATTTTGTGCTTAGTGAGTGGACCAAGGTCTCAGGATCCAAGTTTAAGAAGAAACGGTGTAAAAGTTCCTGGTGAACATCGAAGGAAGGAGAATGGCGTAAGTGATCGTTTTTTTGTTTCTATCTGCGCCGCACGTGTGCCAGTGATCTGCTGTTTTGACCTTCAACTCGCATTCATTATTACTTTGTTCTCCAATGGGTTATGAAGGATGGCCCTCTTCTGTAAAGGTTATTGTAAATTTATTTCATACAAAGGATTGATTTTAATGATCTTGGCATGGGTGACTGTCGAGAGCAGTTTTAGATGCTGGAAATGCCTCACATTCAGAACAAAACAAATGTTGAGCAAGTAATGAATTTTAGTAAGTATCTTTGGGGGCACCTGGTAGACATTTTCTTTTCAGAGCTCAGAATTTGTAATACGGTTAGGGATTCGCCTCGTTATCTTTCCCCAGTCTATGGTAAATTTATGTGAGAATCCAGACCATTTGCTCCTCTTTCCCCAAATTCTCCTTGTTTCTCTTAGATCTTACACTTCTCTTACGGGGCTGGAAGGCTCATATAAAGATGATGAAAAGCGGTCTCAGCCATTAACAGGATTTGAGTGCATCTTGACACAGCGTATCTTCCCCCCTCACTGGGTTCTTCTTGAACAGCTTTATCGAACTATAGTTGACCCACATACAGTAAAATTGCACATATTTCGAGTGCACAGTTTGGTAAGTTTTGACACGCGTACACACCTGTGAAACCGTCACCACAGTCAAGATAGTGACAGTGTCCATCACGCTGGGTTTCCGCATGTCCTTCTATAACCTTCCCTTCCTGCCTCCCTCCCCGTCCTCAAGGACCCCCTGTCTGCTTTCTGTCGCTACAAATTACTTGTGTTTTCCAGAACTTTACATGGATGGAATCCTCCAGTATATAGTCTTTTTGTCTGAATGTGCTCAGCATAGCTATTTTCATCCCTTCCGTCCCGGAGGTCAGTGGTTGGTTCCTTTTCATTGCTGGGACGCCCTCCATCTGCACAACATGCTGATCCACCATAGACGGATGTTGGGCTTATTGCCGGTTCTGGTTAGTCTGTATCCAGCTGTCATATTTGGGTCCTAGTCTGTGTACGGGCACGTCCTTTTAGTTCTCTTCAGCTACTAGGAGTGGGGTGCTGGGTCACGCGGCAGGGGCGTGTTCATTTTTTAAGAAGCTGCCAGACTGGTTGCCAAGGTGATTGTTTTATTTTCCGTTCCCGTCCAAGAGTTCCAGTTGTTCTGTGTCCTCTCCCGCATCTGGTGTGGTCAGTCCTGGTAATTGTCGCTGACCGGGGCCCTGCGGTCCCCCGAGGCTTCACCTTGTGTTTCTCTGACGGCTTGTGGTGCACACGCTTATTTGCCACCCGTGTGTCTTACGTGGTGACATATTTGTTCGCCTCTTTTGTTTATACTTTTCCTTGTTGGTTTGTTTGCTTTCTTACTACTGAGTTCGAGCACTCTATTCTGGATCCGAGTCTTTTATGAGGTATATGCTTTGCAAATATTCTCCCTGCTCTGTGACGTGTTCCTAATTTTAATAAAAGATAGTCGCTCAATTGAGAAGTTTTGTCGTGTTCTTTTACATTTAATTTTATGACCCACTTTGAACACTTGGCTGTGGTACGAGGACTCGAGCTCGTGCTGTTGTGTACGCGGACGTCCAGGTGACCAAGCTGGATGCCTGTTGGAAGGGCCGTGCTTTCTCGCTCCAGGGCCTTGCATCTTCGTCTCAAGGCCGTTGCCCCATACACGTGGGGGTCTGTCCGTGCTCCCCGTTCCTCTGTCTTGACCGTGCTGTGTCGGTCACCAGAGCATGGGGAAGTCTTCTGGTCAGGCCGTGTGACTTTTCTAAATTTATTCCTTTTCAGGTTGTTGTGGCTGTTCTAGATCCTGTGCCCTCCCTTATGGGAGTTTGGAATCTGCTTGTTCATACACACACACACAAGCCTACTGGAAGATGCCTGCATGGCTTAGTTGACTGGGTGTCTGACTCCTGATTTGGCTCAGGTCATGATCCCAGGCTAGTGGGATTGAGCCCCGCATCGGGCTCTGCACTGAGCATGAAGCCCGCTTGGTATTCTCTCTCACTCTTGCTCTCTCACCCCCCCCACCCCTCTTCCCCACTCGTGCGCTCTCTCTTTCTCTAAAATAAAAAATAACCTTTAATCCCTTTTTAAGAATTAAAAAAAGCCTGCTGGGAGTTCACTTTGCCAAGTGTACAGGTCAGTTCGGGAAGCGTGGTCATCTTGCGGGCGTGAGCTTCTGATTCACGAGCATGTCACTTACCCCAGCTTCATTCAGGCCTTTCTCTCAGCAGTTTGTGAGTTTTCAGGGTGCAGGTCTTGTGCATCGTGTTAAATTTATTCCTAAGTACTTCATGGTTTCTGTGCTACTGGAAACGGCCTTTAAAGATGCTTTTTCTAGGTAGGGTACTTGGGTGGCGTCTGTTAAGCATCTGACTCTTCGTTTGGGTTCAGGTCATGATCTCACGGTTTGCGAGATTGAGGCCTGAGTTTGGATTCTCTCTCCCTCTCTGCCCCTCCCCATGCATGCGCTTGTGCACATGTGCCTTCTTTCTCAAAATAAGTAAACATGAAATTTTTCCTCAATTTCTGGTTGTCAATATATAGAAATACAGTTGATTTTTGCCTCCTGATCGTTTATCCTGCAATGTTGCAAACACCTCACTAGTTCTGGCGGCTCTTTTGTAGACTCCGTAGCATTTTCCTCACAGATCACATTTTCTGTGAGTCAAGACAGTTTACTTTCTTCCTTTCCAAACTGGATACAACTTCCGGCCTTTTCTTTTCTGTTACCGTGGCTTGGAACTTCTAGGAGCGTGTTGAGTAGATGCTTTGAGAGTAGACATCTTGTTTGTCCCTCATAACTCAGTGTATCTTGAATATTTTTGATGCTAGTGTCATATTAAAAAAAAAACCTTTTTTTAAGTTTATTTATTTTGAGAGAGAGAGGGAGCATGGAAGGCAGAGAGAGAGGGAAAGAGGGAATCCCAAGCAGACTCACACTCTGACAGCGTGGAGTCCGACGTGGGGCTCAAACTCCCGAACCATGAGATCATGACCTGAGCAGAAATCACGTCACTTAACTGAGTGACTGAGCCACCCAGGCGCGCCTCGCTAGTGTCATGTTTTTAAAGGTTGTTGTGATGACTGTGTTCTAGGTTAGCCGCTGGTGCCCCAGTGTCATGTTTAGTGTGATCAAATGTTATTTTTCTAGTATAAATTAACTACAGAACAAGTAATTCTAAGTAGTTCCATTTCGGCCACCGACTACTGAAACTGTTTACTTTTACATTTATAACTTGAAGAGCGCTGGTCTATTGGTACATTTTACGTCTAAACGTAATAAGTCACTGTGGGGATGTTAACATGAAACTTAATGGTCTCGTTAATATTACGGGAGAAAAACGGCCGATTTTGGCGTGATGGGTTCAGGTGCGGCTTAAGCAGACCTTCGCGGAGGGTCTCTGTGATCATTTCGTGGTAGCCGGAGCGCTTGTGGTTTCGTTTGCAGGCTGGCAGCCCCGGGATGGATCTGACTCTGGCCGAGCTTCAGGAGATGGCGTCCCGCCAGCAGCAGCAGATTGAGGCCCAGCAGCAGATGCTGGCCACTAAGGTAATGTCTCGTTGGAGGACGGGCGGGCCCGCCGTTGATGCGTGAGTGAGGCCCGCTCACGCTGTGCGCCGTCGCCTCCCAGACACACGAGGAGACTACAGCCCACGAGGTTCCTGCTTCCCGGAGCCTGCTTCTCTTTGCTGCAGCATGTTCTGGAAAGCCTTAGATCATCCCCCGCGTTCAGGATCGCTGGACCCCCGATCCTGAGCAAAATTATTCCTGTCGTGTATCGGTAACAGAGGAAGAGCGTAAGGAACGCTTCCACTTGGCTGGTGGGAACCGCTCTGGACTGGCCTTGTCCTGACTGGTTGCTAAAGCGAGAGGGACTTTATAGTCAAGTCCTGCTAACTCTGTCCCCTTCTGCGTCGTGACACTGATAACCGGCTGTTTGCCCTCTTCTGAGACATCCTGCCCCCACAGACTAATGCTCATCCTGGCCTCGAACAGGTGAAAAAACAAAAGAAGCCTCCATTACCTTCCAGACCAGTCTCCCTGTTCCCTCTCCTGCCGGCCACAGGTTTCTGGTCTAAGTCATCAGACTTCCTCCAGAGAGGCTGGGAATCGGTATCTTGGGGTTTGCAGGCTAACGGTCTCAGCTCTATGGTTGTAGCACTAAAATGGCCGTGGACGCAAACGAATGGATGGCTGTGTCCCCCAAAAACTGGACTTCTAAAAACAGCAGGCTGGATTTCACCTGCCGTCCCTGGTCTGAACACTCAGTGTCTGCACCTGACCAGTCTTTTAGTGACTGTAAGTTCACTGGAGCTAGGGTACCAGTGGTGGTCTGGCGTGTGAGGTCCCCAGCGACACGCCCTGTGGCCCTCCTTGTCATAGTGCCAGGGCTCCCATGTATCCGTTTCTGTCTCTGATGCCAGGCACCAGCACCTTCAAAATCCGGTGTAGCATTGCTTCTCATACTTCAGTGTGCATATGAATCACCTAGGGGTCTTGCTAAAAATGCATGTTCTGGGGGCGCCTGGGTGGCTCTGTCAGTTAAGTGTCTGACTCTTGATTTTGTCTCAGGTCATGATCTCACGGTTCGTGGGATCGAGCCCCATGTCGGGCTGTGCTCTGACAGAGTGGAACCTGCTTGGGATCTTTTCCCTCTCTCCTTGCCCCTCTTCTGTTCATGCGCTCTCTCGCTCTCAAAATAAACATTTAAAAAAATGCATGTTCTGGGGCACCTGGTTGGCTCAGTTGATTAAGCATCCAACTCCTGATTTCAGCTCAGGTCATGATCTCACAGTTCGTGAGATCAAGCTTTGCGTCAGGTTCTGTGCTGATAGATAAAAATAAGGTTGAGTGGGGCGCCTGGGTGGCGCAGTCGGTTAAGCGTCCGACTTCAGCCAGGTCACGATCTCGCGGTCTGTGAGTTCGAGCCCCGCGTCAGGCTCTGGGCTGATGGCTCAGAGCCTGGAGCCTGTTTCCGATTCTGTGTCTCCCTCTCTCTGCCCCTCCCCTGTTCATGCTCTGTCTCTCTCTGTCCCAAAAATAAATAAACGTTGAAAAAAAAAAAATTTAAAAAAAAATAAGGTTGAGTAATAGAACAAATCTTCAATTTTGGGGACTTATTTCAAAACTATTTTGTGTTACTTCTGTTTCAGGCATATTAACTTGAGGTTACTCTTGATGATAAGTTGTGTGACTCTGTTACTCGATTTTAGTTAAAAATTTTAGTATGATAGAATGTTACGCTCTGGTTTTTTAGAGCGTTAAGTGGTTCTTCACCTCTTTCCTAAGTGTGTGTTGAGTGTGCACTAGCTGTGCAAGGTGCTGTGTGAAGAGAGTCACATTTCACGGTTCGCTCCTTGCCGGTCGCCCCACTTCAGAGCTGAGGAAGGCAGTGAGGTTATGCGGTTTGCCCAGTCTTAGAGCCAGTAAGTGGCAGCACGTGGGTTGGGAGTCCAAATCTGGCTCCAAAGCCGCCTTTCCAAAGCGAGCGTGTCTCTGTGTGAGCTTCTCCTAAACTTGTAGCCACGGCCCATGAGAACCAGTTCCGGATCGCTGTTCGCTCGCGGCATGAGAACCACGGGGAATAAATGTGCTCGTTCCTGGGTCTTGTCCCCATGAGAATGGAGGGCTGGGGCCAGGAGCGGGTGCCTCGCGGGCTGGTCTGGGTTCGTTCCGGGCTGTGGCGCACCTGCTGGGAAGGGCGTGCTGACCCTGGCCTGTGTCTTCAGGAACAGCGCTTGAAGTTTTTGAAACAGCAGGATGAGCGCCAGCAGCAGCAGGCTGCGGAGCAGGAGAAGCTGAAGAGGCTGAAGGAGATCGCGGAGAGCCAGGAGGCGAAGCTGAAGAAAGTGAGGGCGCTCAGGGGCCACGTGGAGCAGAAGAGGCTGAAGAACGGCCGGCTCGGTGAGCGGAGCCCGGGGGCGGCCGGTGTGGGTGCGGGGGCAGGGCGGGGGCCGGCGACAGGCGTTGCCAGGGGTGAGAGCAGGACGGGACCGTGTGCGCAGGGACCTCAGAGTTGTTGGAAAGCAGAATTCCCTGCAGCTTGGACACCCGTGAATAGGAGTTAGCTGCTGGGCGCTTTCGACAAGGTTCCTGACTCACCTTTGGAAAATGTCCTAGTGGTTTATTTGGGTTTTTTCCCCTCTAAATACTTTTTGACTGGAAGTTTGACGAAGGATTTTTATTCATAGAGTAGGTCTATTACAATACCACTTAATTAAAATTTTAGTGACTTAACGACTCCCTCTACCGCTTTTATAAAGCGCAGATTCAGAGTCCTAAATAAATTTTGTTGTTGCCCAAGTTTGCAGTTTAATACTCGAGATCCAGGTCCTGCCAAAGTCCCCTCCAGAGGGAGGCTCATTCAGAATGCGTCTGCCGATTCCAGCCGCCTGTGAAAGAGAAGGCTTTGGGGCCTTTCTGAAATGTCTGCGCTGTGTTCCGAGGCTCGTCGGAAAGCCAGGTTGCCTGGCAGCGCTCGGTCGTAGTTTTCTTTTCAGCCCTGGTTGCCTTTCTTCTTGTCCCTCCAGTGGAGGAGATCGAGCAGATGAACAGCCTGTTCCAGCAGAAGCAGAGGGAGCTGGTTCTGGCCGTGTCCAAGGTGGAGGAGCTGGGCAGGCAGCTGGAGGTGCTCAAGAACGGCCGGCTGGACGGGCGGCACGATGGCAGGTGCGCCGCGGCCGAGCTCGACCGCCTCTACAAGGAGCTGCAGGTGAGCCGGGGGCGCTTCACCCCGAGGTCCGGGACGCACGTCTGAGTGCCCCACGTGGGAAGTCGGGGGCCTCCCTACAGCCGCAGCCGTGGGCCGACGTTCAGTTTACACCAAGAGGTGGGGGGGGGGGGG